AAGAATTAGGTTTGGTTAGAATAGTGTTCAGCTAGACCTAGACAAGAATTAGGTTTGGTTAGAATAGTGTTCAGCTAGACCTAGACAAGAATTAGTTTTGGTTAGAATAGTATTAAGCTATTAAGCTAAACCTGGAGAATGGTTAGGTTAGGTTAGAATAGTGTTCTGCTAGACCTAGAGAATACCAGGGCTAATGTCTAGGTTAGAATAGTATTCTGCTAGACCTAGAGAATACCAGGGCTAATGTCTAGGTTATAATAGTATTCTACTAGACCTAGAGAATACCAGGGCTAATGTCTAGGTTAGAAGTATTCTGCTAAACCTAGAGAATACCAGGGTTAATGTCTAGGCTAGAATAGTATTCTGCTAGACCTAGAGAATACCAGGGCTAATGTCTAGGTTAGAATAGTATTCTGCTAGACCTAGAGAATACCAGGGCTAATGTCTAGGTTAACAAATTGCTGCAATTGTATAATAGAAACCTTTAGTTTACGTTCTTAAATCAGAAATATTAAATAAGATGATAAATTTTAACAGATAGAGATACGGAGAAAGATAGATGTAAAGATAGATAGAAAGACATAATATATGATAGATAGATAGATAAATAAATGAATAGATTTAAAGACAGGTAGATAGATAGATAGACATAACATATGATAGATAGATAAATAGATGAATAGATTTAAAGACAGGTAGATAGATAGATAGACATAACATATGATAGATAGATAGATAAATAGATGAATAGATTTAAAGACAGGTAGATAGATAGATNTTTTCATTTGTGGTTTCTCTTGCGCATTTCTTGCTTCAGAAACAATTGAGAATTTACCAGAAATATCACCTTTTAATCCAGTAAAACGACATTATCTTCAGCATGACAGAATAGAATAGAATATCATTTAAAATAACAATAACAATCTCTTTAAATACAGTTTACAGACAATTATTGTCAAATACCTTCTTTCTCCTTCTTTCCTTCCTTCTCTACTGGTTTTCCGTCCTTATCCGTTTTACTTCTAATACTAGACTTTAAGGGCGCTTCGCGCCCATCTTCTTTTTCAATTGTGAACATTTTATATGTATACGTTGTAAAACAAAAACAAACAAAAAGTTCGCGGATTTCATAAAAAAAATTTCGTGGATTTTCAAAATTTAATGAAAATCGAAATTTGTTGGAGAATATTTTTTTTAATTTTGATCATTCATGAACCTTCCCTGGGGCCATGTGAGGTCCCATAGAAAATTTGGGCTCGTTGTTGGATTGTGTGTCATAAGTCATGGTCGATTTGTATAAAATTTCTGCACGTACGGAAATGTAAGTTTGGATTTATCAAAATAATTTCAGGCAAAGCTTGTATTTCAAATAATATTATAATTGCACCGGATATTTAATTATCCCAAATATTCATAGATAAATAAAAAAGTTCTTGAATAAGATTATTTAAATGACAATATTGTGGCGGAAGATGATCCACGTCACCTTGATATATATTTTCGATTTCTTTAATTTTAAAAGTATTTAAATTTAGTCAATAAAGTATTTATTTAACCTCGGACGTGTATTATTGAGCGTAGCCAAAATATTATAGTTATTTTTCAAAAATACTTTTTTGTCAATACTTATTTACCTTCTCTGCATTTTCTTCATTTTAGCTCGTTGGTTTTGAAACCAAACTTGGACTACTCTCACACTTAAACCAGTATCTTTTGCTAGCGCTTCGCGCACCTAGAATAAAAAAAAATATTTCTTAACTATCTGAGTGTATCTATTTATGTTATTGTAATGGGTATGGGTGCGTGCCAAAAAGTTTTTGCCGGGATTTTAATTTTTTTATTTTGTTTGATTTTGATCTCAAACAAATTAGAAAAATCCCAGCAAAAACATGATACCCATTACAATAACATATACAATGTTATTCAATTTTAATCAACTGTTGTAGGGCGTTAAAGTTAATTTTTCACTATGTGGTAGGGCGATAAAGTGTTATCAAATGCATAGGTTTAATTACTATTAAGAAATCCCTCAAGAAAAATTATAAAACTACAGGTTGTCCCAATAAAAATTGAAATTAAAAATTGCCTTTTAAATTTGATAGTTGATAAATGACAAAGAATGCATAAAAAAAGTTTAAGTATTTTAATCTTTATAGAATGTGATCTACCTGCTTTGCACCTTTAACATTGACGGAGATATCAAAAGTTTGAACAATTTTTTTGTTATTTAATAAATCTGTATATGGACAGATATCGCCGTCAACTTGAAAATTAAAATTAAAAATTAAAATCACATTTTAGAATTCTAGAGTAGTTTTAGATGTTTATAATTGACTTAGTTTATTGTTTTATTTTATTAAAGTCATTTTCTTCACGACCTTTTTCTTTTATTATTATTATTATTATATAATTATGGTTTCCCTGTAATTTGGCTTAAAAGCTAGAAATATGATGATATCTTCCACATTATTGATCAGATAAAGGTTTTAAAAATGTAGAATGTAAATCTCCTTCAAGGCAAAAAGTCTAAAGAGTCAGTAGCAAGAAAATTGTAATAAATCTGCTTAATAATTTCTGATAAGTATTAAACTAAAAAGTTTTAATTCAGAAGGAATTTNTTAAATATTTTTAATTATTTAAGAGTGTGCACATCCCTAGGTCGTTTTGGTCCTCTACGCCCATCTCTAGGCCTCCCTCCGCCGAGATCATCATAACCTAACTCATCGCCCATCCCTTTAAATAAAAATATAAATTTTATAAAAAGTTCAAAAAATAATTTCAGAAATATTTCGAAAAATAAAACTTGAAAAATTAATCATGTATGAGTTAAAATTATAATTTTATGAAAACCTTAAATAATATTTTTACAAAAACTTCAAAAAATAATCTAAATGAAAGTTCATATAAGAATTTTTTAAAAATTAAAATAATAATTTTATAAAAAGTTCAAAAAAAAATTTCAAAAATATTTGGAATGATAATTTTATAATAGTTCAAAAACTAATTTTAAAGAAAGTCCTCATAAGATTTTATAAAAAGCTCAAATATTTATTTTATAAAAAGTTAAAATTATGATTTTAAAAATGATTCATATAAGAATCTTTTATAATATTTTATAAATTGTTAAAATGAAAATTTGTTATGCATGGTTCAAATGATAATGTTCAAATGAAAGTGATAAATAAAATATCAAAGTAATAATAGTAAAAATGATAAAACTTTAAATAAAAAATTATCAAAAAATATTACAAAATTTAAAAAATGTATAAACTTACATCTAGTCTGGTCCATACCCCCGAAACCCTGCATCATGTAAAGCTCTTTTTCAAAATCCATTCTACAGATTAGTTGTCCACCCCGTAGTATATACTGATCTCCTCTCTAGATATTCATTCATTCATTCATTCATTCATTCATTCACCCATCCTTTCACCCATTCATTCATTCATTCATTCATTAAATCCTTTTCCGTTCAAATTTATCGTGTCTAAAAATCATTAGAATTTATAATATTGCAATAATTGCAATGATTGCGCACTTGTTTAAATGAAAAGCAAAAATTACATTGTATCTTTTCAGAAAATTCTCAAAAAAAAGAAACTTTCTAATTTCTTTATTTCTTACAAGAATCACATTGGATACAAAGCCTTGTGATTGGTGTAGAGGAGTGCTACTGAATTCTTATTGGTCAAAAAAAGAATGGTCGTCTCTGATTGGTCGGAAGTGGTTGGCCAGGATTTTACTGTTTTTACGAATATTTCATTTGTATTTCTTATTTCTTTTTAAACATTATTTTGGCTTTTCATTGAATTTCTGCTTTATTTTATTATTTATGATTTTAATTAGCTCGTGTTTCACTAGCTGTAAGCTTTGGTTCATTTTAATTTGTACCGGTCCGATTTTTAAGCAACTAGAGCAAGATGTACAGTCTTGTTCAATGTTACAAAGTGCACCTGATCTTGTGTTTACGCAATGTAAACCCAATCTTACGCAAAATTTACCTGTAAGGGTTGACCGCACATGACGCAGGCAAAGCAATGTAAATGAAATATATACGCCATTGTACGCATCACAAGGTCATGAGGGGAGAGCACTATTCCACACCGGTCACATTTTACACCAAATATCCTAGAATAATAATATCATGAGGGGAGAGCACTATTCCACACCGGTCACATTTTACACCAAATATCCTAGAATAATAATATGATGAGGGGAGAGCACTATTCCACACCGGTCACATTTTACACCAAATATCCTAGAATAATAATATGATGAGGGGAGAGCACTATTCCACACCGGTCACATTTTACACCAAATATCCTAGAATAATAATATCATGAGGGGAGAGCACT